AATTTCAACATCACCATCTTTTTCTGTTAAACCTAGTAGTTCCGTTTCAATTTCTATTAAGAATATGATCATATTATATTTACATGTTTCAAATATTTTTCCTCAACGTCTTTTGCAAATTAAAAAAAGTTCATGATCTCATGGACTACCGTGGGATGAGTAAGAATATTTCCATTGTGATGTGATTAAAGTCAACTATTTTAATGCAAACTTTGTTTTCTTTCAAAAATGATCGTTGAATGACAAAAATATGTGGCAAGTCATCAGAAAAATAATGTAAATATAAGATATGAATTTAATTTTTGCGAATCCATGAGGCACATGAACTTCACCGCTTCACGCCTGCATATTTATCATGAAGCGCCGGCGTACGCGTGAAGCGTCGTATTTCATGTCCTCATGAATTCTCAAACACTCTCAATTCTTAAACACATGTATTTCTTTTATAGATGCAGAATGTTTCTTGAAGATTTCATCTAGATATAATGATATTAACAAGTCATGACTTCCATATTCATAAGCAAAATTTCTTCTTCTTGATACGTTTTATGAGTATAATGCATTAAATGACAGAAAAATTTGAAACTGTTTCTCATTTACAATAAAAAAAAAAAAACATGTTTAATACGTTATTGACCATTTTCTTTTCAAATGCATGTAATATAAAGTGTTTATCTGTTCATAAATCGATCAAAAGACACTCTCAAACAAAATTCGTCTGACAAAAGTACGATAGATTGTAAATTAATTAAAAACAAGTACCTGTTTAAAAAATAATGATAGACCCATCTGCACGCCTTATATGCCATGACAGTTACTCCTTTGAAATAGGAAAAAACACTACTAAGGACAAGATAATTAATTACTGGAACATTTTACAAATTCATATTTTTCTGTTCTATAAACATATTTAATTAAAGGGGAAACTAAGGTAAAAGGTGTATTAACTTAATTGATGGCATAATTACCGAATATTTCTTATTATTGAAACTATATAAAATGTATATTGTTTGAGTTTTTTTTTTCAAAAACATTATCTATTTCAAAAATAACACATTATCAGGGACCCAGTGTGTGTGTGTGTGGGGGGGGGGGGGGGAGGGAGGTAATTGAGTAACCAAGATATTCAGCAAACAGTACAAGAAATCAAATACTGAAAGTGTAAGTCAGCCTAAATTACAACTTAATTTTTAACACAAAACACCATTACTGGAAAAAAACGGGAAGGTTGCAACCCCCTCCACCATACTACGCCTGACTGCTTTTTTAAAAACTCGGGTACTTCTTAATATCTTACCCAGTTTCACAATTCAAAATTCTTACAAATTTCTAGCTCATCAAACCTTTTTACGGAAAAAAGTCTGCATCCTCGCTGGATTTTACTGTCTTTCTATTTACCTACATAATAATTGTATATTTCACGATTTTTCGCATATCATATATGTACATGAATAGGTATTTTATCGTATAAGTACAAAATGATTATTTTTGTTATATCTTTTTGATCAAAACACTTGCCACTTTTTTCAAGTTGTGTACAGACTAAGAACTTAAGCCTACTCATGAGGAGGCCTAGATTTAAGCTTAACTTTAGTCTCGACTAAGTCTGCGCCTTTTTGTGAAACGCTACTTAGTCCGATTTTGGGGTTTAGTCACTGACTTAGTCCGGACTAAGCTTACGCCTGGTCGTAGGCCTTTTTGAGAAACGAGCCCCTGATGTACATGCATACTTTACACATGTCAGTTAGCTGGTTAGTCATGTTAGTAATGGATAGTGTTTACATAATTTATATTAAGGCCATCTTAAAAAAAAGTTTGCCGTCTCCCGACCAACTCGACTCAAAACTTTTTTTAACCTCCAGGAAACGATTTTTTTTTTCTTTTTATTTCTGAATTTTCTCATCCCGTTAGTATGTGTGTTGAAATTTTCTAGGGAAAAAAAATTTCCCACCTACCTACCGACCCATTTTTTTTATCCTGACTCGGGAGAGGGCTAAAAAAACATTATTTTAAGGATGTCCTAATTGTAAAGTTTCCAGCCAGATTCGTTATTTTTCTTTCAACATATATTTCTTTGCTTTCACGGTATATCAAGAGGCCCATGCGCAACAATGCTCACCTGAGTAGCTATGGCCCTTCTTGTTTTTCCTCAGCAGATTCTTTTTCCTATATATTCCCATATAAAACTTGACCACCCATTGTAGCCCCACCGTATCCCCCGGGGATGGGGTGGGGTCATGATTTGAACAAACTTGAATCTACGCTATCTGGGGATGCTTCTTTATAATATGACTAATCATGACTTTCCTCTATCTAGGAAAAAAGATTCTTTAAGATTTTTCTATGTATTCCTAAGGGAAACCTGAACTGCCCATAGTGGCCCCATCCTACCCCAGGGGTCATGATTTAAACAAACCTGAACACACACTACCTGTAAATGTTTACATATAAATCTAATATGACTGATCATGACTTTGGTGTTCTTCATCAGAAGATTTTTTAAGATAATTCTCCTATGTATTCCTATGGAAAACTTTGATACCCATGGTAGTCCTACCCTACCCCTAGGTCATGATTTGAACAAACTTGAATCTACACAACCTGAGGAAGCTTCTGTATAAATATGACTAATCATGTCTTTCCTAATCTTGTTGAGAAGATTTAATTTTTTTTTCTTTTGATCCATGTAAAAACTTTGATCGCCAATAGTGGCCCCATCCTAGCCCGGGGGGGGGGGGGGGGGGCATGATTTGAACTAATTGAGTACACACAACCTGAGGATGCTTCCATATAAATATAGTTAATCATCATGGCTTTCTTATTCTTGAGAAGAAGCATTTTAAATATTTCCCTATTTATACCCATGTAAAACTTTGATTGCCCATAGTTCCCACACCCTACCCTAGGGGGTCATAATTAATTTAAACAAATCTGAAATTTGAATCTTCACTACCTAGGGATGCTTCCATATAAATATGACTGATAAGGCTTTGCTGTTCTTCAGAAGAAGATTTTTAAAGATTTTACCAATATACGAAGGGTGATCAAAAAGTTCGCGAACTAATACTTTGTATCGCGATTACCTCACAGTTATCTAACTTAACGCCGCTCTTTTGCGGCGAAGTCGAGGAAACTCTACATTTCGCGAGATTTCCGGGGCATGAATTACTTACGCTAGTGACAATCAAATAATTCGAAAATTAGTATGCCGAAAGTACTATGTATTGCAAAGGATTGAACTTCAAATAGTAGGTTGTCTAATTTGGAATGTTGAGAGTTTTTTTATCAGCTTCCAAAAGTAACGATAATCAGAAAGAAATGAATGAATTTAATTAGAAGAGTTGGCTTACTGACAAAGATCAATAAAAATGTAATTCATGAGGACTAGGTTCTCTGAAAATTTATTATTTTCTATTGAGAAGTTGATAGCTCGTTTTAATACTCCCTCTCAACTTCTCTACGAGAGGCCAAATAAAAGCAGTTCAGAAATTGACTAAATGAAGAACCAAAACCGGGTCTCACTTCGATCGATGTTTTAGGATTGATGCATTATCATAGACATATTTTGGATGCACAGATGTTGTTTTGCAATGGAAATGCGATTTAAAATACCGATTCTGCTGACTTAGAAACATTTATCACGGTAGAACACTTACTTGCGATATCTGTGTCGCCGGATTCGTTTATTCATTCAAAACTGCGTTTGAACCCGGGTTGGCCTCTAAAAAAGTCTAAAACTTTTTTTTCCGGATAAATTGGATTAAATGTTTTAGTGTTAAATAGTTATCCGGAGGAATAGTTTTAGACTTTGTTAGAGGTCAACCCGGGTTCAAACGCAGTTTTGAATGAATAAACGAATCCGGCGACACAGATATCGCAAGTAAGTGATCTACCGTCACGGTGATAAATGTTTTATTAAGTCAGCAGAATCGGTATTTTTAATCGCATTTCCATTGCAAAACAACATCTGTGCATCCAAAATATGTCTATGATAATGCATCAATCCTAAAACATCGATCAAAGTGGGACCCGGTTTCATTGGTTTTTTCATTTAGTCAATTTCTGAACTGCTTGTATTAGGCCTCTCGTAGAGAAGTTGAGGGGGAGTATTAAAACGAGCCATCAACTTCTCAATAGAGAAGAAAAATTTATAAGTGTGGTTCAGCGAATGTTTTGCAAGATATTTCACCAGGACGTCTTTCATATTTGCCCTTTAGAAATCCAGAAATTGAATGCTTGATCTCGCGTTGTATGCAACAACACATTGCCCCCAGCTAACAGACGTTTCCTACCTTCACCGCGAAACATGCTCCGTAGCGTTCTGTTCACAACAGCTAGAAGATTTTTTCCGGGTTTTATATTTATTACCAAGCAGGTTATTTTTTTTATAACAAGAATAGTCCATTTGTCACAAATGGCCAAATCTCAGCAATAGGATGGGTTGATAAGGATATCTTTGACCAAAATGAGCATGGTAACCATCACAACCCGACTCCTCTGTCTTGGATGTGTCGTATTCATTAGTATGGGCGCATTCTCTTTATCATATCTGATATGTTTAAAATCTACATGTAAGTTACATGATATTTTGGGGATTTAATTATCATTTTATTGTTAAGATATTCAACTATTTTTCTAACTTAACTTGGCGATCTTTTGTAACAAATTGCTAAACTTAAGACGCATCTCTATTCCAGCATACTTTCACTGGACTCAAGATCAAACATAATTTTTAACCATCTCCCTTCCTTCACTAAACCATAAATCCAATCAATGATTGAACTTCTTGCAAGTCCTTTGTCTTCATAAACCCTGTACAAATTATCATATGTCACTGCAAAGAAATTTCCAAGATTTACATTAAAATTTACAGCCGTTCCTTGCTCGAGTTTAACTGAATCACCTATTTTTCGTCACAAGTATTGGCTGCATGCATGCCCCACGGGAAATAGACGCAGTTCTGGGTGACCAGTAACCATATCTATAAATGCTATTTTCAGCTTGTGTGTGGGTGCCAATTTATGACAACACCAGCTCTACTTATTAAAATTAAACGCCATCATGACCATTCAGCCCGTATGCCAGATATTAACAGAGGTCGTTGGTGTTGGTCATTATCCTGGAAAGGTAGGAAAAACATCGTTTTTTAAACTTTCCCTCTCTTCAAATCAAATACTTTACTTCATTTTAATAAACATTGTCTAGATCACACACATTACACTGTTGCCTTGGAAGTATCTGAATTTTTCAACACCACTTAGAATACAAATTAAAATCTGTGAAATCAATATGGAATCCGATGTTGCCCATCACAGGCTTTAAACCTTACACAAGACATGCTGGTAACCGACATTCTTACGTCCGGCCCTGTGACGGAACATATTGTCGTTTTGTACATATTGCCATCGGCGACACTGTAAACCTATCCTCACTGTACATATGGTCGTTTTGTACATATTAATTACTATTAGTCCAGTAAATTTAGCGAAAATATGGACCCAACGTCAAGCTAATTGCAGCACAGATTATTTAAATTATTTTTATAAATCAAAAATAAATAAAGTCATAAATTAAATCTAACATGTACAAAATATTTGTAGTAAAAATTCAAAGAAAATCTGATGTGCCGAAAGCATAAATTTATCATTTAATTAGCTATGGGAATTACTATAGAAAAGGGACACAACTCTGTAAAATCTTTCAATATTTTGCTGAATTAATCAAAAAAAAAAAAAAAAATAAATAAATAAATAAAATAAATAAATAAAAAAAAAATTAAAAAAAAAATCCTGTTTTTTTTTGAAATCATAACCTGATTTTAACTCTCTTGATACAATTTAATAGATCATTATTTCAAATAGATAATATAAATTTGAAATGGATATTTTGAATTTAATTTCATACTTTTTTAATTTGGAAAAATAAGCATTTTTTATAGATAGTGAATATATAGACCTTAAAAAAGAATAAAAATAAATAAATTTCCCTTATATTAAGATTTAGTAAGCATAAATCATTCATTTAAGGAGGTTGGATCCTGACATCAAAAGTAATGAGAATTTTTTATCAAGTATATTTTTAGAATTTATACACATAGCTTAATTAAAAATCAAAACAAAAAATGGGGGTCAATGCGCTTCTTTTGGCGCTACAGAGCTTTTAGTTTGACCTTTTTGCACTGTAAATACGTCTTACACATAAATCATTTTTTTACAGTTTTCCTCCAATATTTTTTTAATCAAATAAGTTATGGGAACAAACACAGTCTTATTTCATCTTGAATAGACACATTAAAATTTTTGACAACGAAAAAAATTTCAAATTACTTCGCATGTTCAATTATTTGACCTTTTTGCACTCAAAAAATTTCATTTTGCTAGCATTAATAATTTAACAAGCAAACAACTCAGTAAAAAGTAATGCCATTTTACTGAATTTAAGAAGAGTGGTTAAAAGTATCTTATATATTCAGAAAAGAAAGTTAAAAGTGGGGGTCTGTGATGTTAATTTTTAGATATTATTAAAAAAGTGCTAATTTCGAGCTTAAATTAGGGCTATTTTTTTCTTGATTTTCACAATATATTTGCTATATTTATCAAATATGATGATAGAATTCATGACAGTTTATTAAATATATAATTTAGGACCAGTATAAAACAGTTCACTGCACAAAATAACTATGTGTGCAGACTGCATGTAAAAATAGGAATGCAAACTTAACATACTTTAATTACTTCGAAAGAGAAAAAGTTATCATTTTCTTCTAAAAAACCTTCCGCCACAAAATATAGTTCCTCACTTAAAGCTTTTGGTATGGAATTTAATCATGGAGTTTTAACTGAATATAGTTTATCTGGCATTGTAGAATCCAAATTTATTGTAAGAATTAAAACATTATCCAGAATTCTTTTAAATATAGGTTCAAATGAAAATCTGCTCAAAAGCTCAGGAGCGAACCTCGTTAATACATAAATACTAAATATAATTAAAAAAAAACATCGAGAAAAATTTTAAAAAAATCTGAACAAGTCACTATACTAAAACCCTAAAAATTTATTATTATGAGGCGATGAAATGCAACATTAACTCTGTAGTGTGTCTAAACATCTGTAATATTTTTCTCCCAAGGTATTCAAGGTTTAACTGACCTATAAATATCATAATACACAGTTTAATTCACTACCCCTTTCATCAAGGTAGAAAAATGTACCAAAATTTTAATCAAAATTTACTAAATTGATAAGAGTTATGGCCTTTTTTAATAGTAATTTTCATAGAAAATTAATAAACCCCAAATAATGCTTTCCACTCATCCAATTTTGTTAAGATTTTCTACTGGATTAATTTTGTACATTCTAGAGTTTATTATAACAAATTTTAAAAAGAAATTGTGTTGCAAGTAGATTGATGTCTCATGCTAAATTGCCTGGACTATATTGCCGTCGGCGACTATACATGTAACTATGAACCTTTTCAAAACCAAACAACTTCTAGGTCAGTGCGTGTCACAACATAGTATACATGTAATACGACCGGCCGTTCGTGTACATGGTGTAATACATGTATTTCCATTCAATGTAAATATAAGTAATAAATAACAAGGTTAAAAGTTCACTGGAAAATGAACTTGGTTGGTACGTGATCAAATCCTGTGTACAGTCACAAGGCGACCTACAATTTTACACTTGGCGACTTAAATCGCAGAATGGCCAGTGAAATTTAAAGCAGGGAGCCATTTGGCTATCTTGTCCCAAAGTCTACTTTGAGCCCTGTATATTGTTTTTAAATCAGTTCATGAAATTTTAAAGTCATAAACAAAATGGGTTGTAGTCAGAACTCAGAGGAAAATTGGTCAAAAAGACTGTATTGAGGCATTCAGAGCGGACATGGAAGAGCAATAAGGTTGTTAAACGTAATAAAATTCAACTGCGACAGCGCCTATTGATCAAGTGTATCAAGCTAAACTATTCAAGACTTCTTAAACTTTTGTCGTTTTATTTTCCTTTTAAATTTTGGAAGTCTATATACTAGCCTTTATACTAGCATTAATTTTATTTCATCAGTGACCGATCACGGTAGCCTAGTGGTAGGGCATTCGCTTCATGATCGGGAGGCTCGGGTTCGATTCTCGTTCGCCGCGCCGCGCCAAACCTAAGACGTAAACATAGGTAGTGACTGTTCGTTCGCCAAGAGCCCGGCATTAGAAGTGAAAGTCACGGGTCTTTCAGATATATGACCTTAAAAACATAGGTCCCGTGTCTCGGTAGGCGTTGGCACGATAAAGAACCCTCACTGCTCAATGGCCCTTAGTGCCAAGTACAGGTCTAAATTTGAAGCCCTTCACCGGCATACAGTGACGTCTCTAAATGAGTGAAAAATTCTCGAATGGGACGTTTAACAATATACAATCAATCAATCATATTGCATCAGTGAACGAACGTTTCAAGTTGAATTCTGAGACGTTGCGCACGGTGTTGGTACACATTGACGTTACGTCAAAATAACGTTATGAAAGTCATAACGTTGTTACAACGTTTTAAACGTTAATTGAAAATTTTAGTTGTTTAATGTGAATTCTATTTATTAATTTTTTTTTAAAAATCTAAATAAAATAACAGAGCACAAACTTTTCAATTTTTGAATCTTTGTTGAAAATATTAAGACGTACACTAAAAATCTTATAATCTTATAAATATTTAATAAATTGTCAGATTTTTATTATGAAATTGTCACAGGCATACATATCCCCATTCATATTCTTGATTCCTCTTTCTATTTCTTTTTTCTCACTTTGTACGCTCTGTCTTGCAAAGAGAAAAACACATCAAGTAGCTTTCTCTTTCAACCATTTCTCCTTCATTTTTTTTCCATTAGATCATTTCAAGTTTTCTATTTCTATCAAGCCCCGCATGCGCCTTGGTTTCTGACAACCAAGATCAGAGAAAAGCACAGAAAATCGGTTAATGCGCGGTTCCGGGAAATTTTGCGAGGGGGGGGGGTCCAGCCAATTAAAAAAATATGACACTCGAAGTTTTTGACAAGCAAAAAAAATATAACTGAAAATCCCAGGGGGGGGGGGGTCCGGAACCCCCTTCCCGACTTCCCCCGCCTGCCTTTTTTATTGAAACTTTCTTTCTATATTTTTCTAATATGTTAAATCAGGTACAAATGTACCTAGCATTTACAGCCTTGATTTTGCGAAGGAATATATTTTTCTACGATAGAGAAAATATGTCTTTCTACGAGAAAAATGGAATTATGAAATCAAAACATATGAATGATGTAATTTTTATGACAACCGCTGTACAAAATAGGATTTCCCCCATAACCAGCCCTCCACCCCACCCCGGAATCTATACTCAGGAATCTTACACTAGAGCTAATTTTCCTCTCTTTCTCTCTCAGAGTAGGTTTTCCCCTGTTTTATCAATGCTTAAATCATATCGACATTGCTAAAGTTTATATGAAAGTCAACTGGTTTTTTAATAGAAATATGAGTGTTTTCGCTCAAAAATTTTTCAAAGGATCACTTCCAGGTAAATATATACGTTGACTTATATGGCCGATATTGGTTTCAGTCTTTAGAGAAAGCTTATCGATATCCGTTCCGGTCCCTGACTTTAGGCCACATGCGTGTAGTTTCTTGTTTCTCATGTATCGTTTTAGTTCTAGTCAACTGTCTTCATATGACCCTACATCGATATTTACAGAAACATCCTTTATACGAGGGTCCTTACTTGATGCCTGGGTAATGGCAACGGGACATAAAACCTTAACTGACCTTACCACATTCTTTTCTAATCTGTAACGTCCCCTGCATTTTTGACATAACATGTCGCCAATGCACACAATTTTCCCGAGGAATGAACTGCATCTATACTCTGCATAGCGCAGTATCTCTCCCAGTGGCACACCAGTACTATTACCCAGAGATGTTCTTGAAAGACAAACACAGCAATATTTGCTCGGCATGATTTTTTTTTTCGTGACACCTGCAGTATCGAGTAACACAAAGTGAATGATTCGTGTCCTCGAACAAAGTGTGCTTACACTGAGGTATAGTTCCGGTTGATTGCGTTTAGTTAAAGAGAATTTATGATCTGCATTTCTATAAATGTCTTTTATATCAACAGCAAACATATACATTTAAGGAAGAAAATAGAAGTAAAATGAAAAAGCCTGTATGAAAAATTAAATTCGTGTTTATACAGGTGAAAAATTTGAAAAAATAAAAGTGTGCCAACAGGTGGATTCGAACCAGGACGCTAAAATTGTCCATGGTGAAAGTCTACGGTCTGTCTCTCTGAGCTATACTAACTATGAGAACATACGTCTGACATAAATATAATCCAGTATGATAGAAATAGGTTTTCGCGCTTTTTGTAGTTTTTTACGAATTTCGACCCTAGGGCAGGGGTGTCCCTAAAAAACCTTGTTTTAAATCATTCTTCAGATCAAAATCTATCAAAATTTCATAATTTAAATTAGGGGTAGGCCTGCCCTGAAGGACTTCTATTCCAAAATTTACGCAAAATTTAGTGCTTTAACGGATAATATACTGTCTTGACCAACTTTGTAGGTTAATTTCAAAGTTGCAAAAAAAAAAAAAAAAAAAAAAAAAGGTTCAAAATGCAAATTTGAAAAATTTAGACAAATATACGATAGAAAACAACTAAAGAACATTGATTTTTAAATGTGACTTTTTCAGGAAATTGTTCTCTCCTATAGGTCAAATCTTTTGTTATAACGAAAACATCCTTTAGTATGAAGTTTTAGTAGTTAAAAAAATACAATACAAGAAGCACTGCTCTTGCAAGCCGTAGGATAGGTATGACCCCTCGACCACAGAGGTGTAATACTGGATAGCTATTTTAAACCCCAGAAACTTGGCGAGACACTTAATCAATATTATGCACATGTAGTTTTATGAAATATAACTGGAGAAAAAAAAATCCATTAAAAATAAAATTCCTCTTTTTTTAAAAAAATTAAATGTTGACACAACTAGACTTTTTTTTATTACAATTTTTGTGAAGTTTCATTAAAATTGTCTACTGCGAGAGCACCTGTGAAAAAATTACAGAAAGTACATTTGTAACCATATGTCGCCCCCTCCCCCTCATATATAAGTACTGGCATGATATTTTATAGCAGAAGGGGTAAATTGGCTCTTGAGGGAATCGCACTTTATAACTGTTACAAAGAGTAGGGATTTTCCCGGAAAATTGAATGTGGTGTGAGATTTCTGATGAAGGGGAAATTATACTCAAGAGCCAGTTTTCCGAAAAAGAGGGGAAAGACCGGTATAAAGTTCTTGTTTTAATTTTGGGCTTTTGTATTGATATGTTTTTTGAATCGGTAGATAGGTTCTAGAATTATAGGAGATAGCTAAACGGGAAAAAAAATTAAATGGCCTTATACTGAATTAAACTTTTCTTGTTTTTTTTTTCTTCACCCCAAGTAGTTAAGCTCTTTATAAATGGGGGGGGGGGGGGTACTGACATGCAAAAAAGAAGGGATGGGGATGTTTCGCTATTAAGAACCCTACTAAATTGAAGAAAAAAAAAACTAGCCAGAAAAAATAAAATTCAGAAACCCTTTTACTTTTTCGTGGAGGGGGGGGGGGCTCTCATTCTCATTTTAGCAAAGAGAGAGAGAGAGAACAATAACGTGATATGTTTAGATATTGCTGCAGCAAAATAAAAAGGGGGTATCGGCCTTTGAATGAAAATTTTCAGAATATTTAAAACAAAAGATTGTTCTAAAATAATTGGAGAAGGACTTTTTACCCTACTTGGTACTCCGGACCTGCAGAAAATTGGGAAAAAAAAGCACGGCGATACAATTTGACGCTCCCGACGTCATTCGTATATATGTAGTGTGTAAAATGACGTTTTTCGTACCTGTGACAAAATGGCTACATCTATATTAATGCTTGCGTTTATTTCATGTAGATGATAACCGTAAAAATTATGTTATTATCTAATACAGTATGAAATGTTCTTTCAAGATACAGTAATGATTGGTATATATATGACATTAATTTATGTATATTTGATATGTAACTGAGACATATTAAGTAATAGTACAGCGACTCGTACGTGCATAACAAAATGGCTACACTTAACAAAGCCTTACTAATATTAACGTATCAGCAGTTATATAGCAATTATCAACATAACTAATTTTAGAAACATATGTACTTAAAGATTATTCATCAAAATTTATCTTTGTGTGGCATTTATGTCTAGTACACATCGCCATGCGGGCTAATGTCAACTTTAGGAAACGATTTTTTCCTGTTGGACATATTACTTACGCACTGTAGATACAGCCCAAACTCGTGAAATTGAGAAAATGATGCTAAAAATTCAACAATATCACAAAGAATGCATACATATTATTGTATTTCCTAAATTTTATTTAATTTAGAGGATTGGAAGTGGATCTTTTTATATCTTGTAGTTGCGCGAACAATAATTTATGTAACGTTGGACACGGGAATTTCGCCGTAATAACCAATAATGAATAAAGCCATATCATAGCTAAGATATTTTTATATTATTAAAAAGAGAATTTTTAGAATAATTTATTACCTTGGATAAAATAATTAATTTCATTTTTAATTTCTAGTATCTTTATCATCTTGAAAACGCCAGTTTCTTTATGACATCTAAAGAGTCAGATTTTATAGTACCAACACCGTGCGCAACGTCTATAGCATCAACTTTGTTTCGAATTTCCTAGCTTAATAGCTTATTTTCTATGCTTTTCTGTGTGCTATTGCAGGACAACATCTCTTTTAAAAATACAGAGCTTGTACTGTGGAGGGATCCATTTAATGAAGATGACCCTAATGCTATTCAGGTCAGGAGTCTGGAGGGAGATATGGTGGGACATCTCCTTAAAGAGCTAGCTGCGGCACTGTCACAGTTACTTAAAGATGACGTCATTCAAATCAATCACCTCATCGTGTAAGTATTGCTGGGGAATTCTGATGTTGTCAACAAAAAGAAGCAAAAAATGATTTTATTCTATAAATGACTTTTCAATCTAACACTTTGAACAACCAATTTTCATGATAAATTAAGGATCAAGTTTTTGACATTACAGGTAACTGCTTCTTCAATAAAAATGGAACTCTTTGATTTTCATATCTTGTGATTGGTCATCTACATTTTTTTCAAAAAAAAACTATTCTGATTCCAAATGAAGTATTTATTTTAAAAAGATGCTTGAGTTTCTGATTGACAATATCTATGTAATTTTTAGAGACTAGTTCTTCCAACTATCTGGTGGAATTTTCACAAACACTTATTGTGCCCCTTTATCAGCAGACCTGATTTTGTACTCTTATATTAACGTCCTCTTTTAGTTCGACATTTGGATATATCATCGACATTTTATAGTTAAGGATGCTGTAGTATTCACTTACATGTATATTCATACGTTGATGCGGCATATCCTACTAAACTTTAAACAAGATACACGACAGAGTCTGGCATCTGTATTTGGAAATTTACAAGAGAAAGACGTTATAGGCAAACTGACAACAAACCGTAATTTTAAAAGCGATGACTTTACGTCACTTAAGTTGTGCCAATGACCATTTAAGGATTACGTTTACTCAACGTTACAGTTAACACAAACGGGTCGCCGTAGAATATGATGTTGTAAAATCGGTGACGTCATGATATATTAAATATAGAAAACATTAAGAAAATAAAGTGTTGATATTAAATTAAACGTAACAGTAAAGAATAATATAAATTTTTTTAACAATCCGGTATATGCAATTTGTTATTTGCGACATGCCGTAAATTTCGCGGCGAATGTAAACAGTCGTCTGTTAGAAAGAATGACGCGGTGGAAACGACAGGGGTTTTCAAAACAGAATAACAAATACACAAAAAACTCAGAGATCTTAAAATCTCGGTGGAAGTGCGTCCGGGACGACCACAGTTATTCACAGGCCGATCATCATCATCTTCCCCACACGGACAACAAGGAAACTAATTCCGATCAAGTACCCCACACGTACAACGATCGTGAAGTTCCCCACACAGCTGGATGCGATGTGATTGTTCATTCAGAGAGTTCTGGGTAAGCAACATGAATATTGACCATGCATGTGATCTAATGTATCTGCGTTCATATGATTATCACATATATTTTTGTTCAATTTCACGATCTATCTGTTGGGTGAATGCATGCATGCTGTAAACGAGCTAAACATTCTCAATTTTAATTTCACGCACTCCTGCCTAATAAAAAAAATAATACAGTCAAAAACAAAATTATGTTGAAATAAAAATATCTTACATTTTTTCCTCAGAGAAATAATAGAGAGAGAGAGAGAGAGAGAGAGAGAGAGAGTTTCTGACAGTGTGATGGTAATAGCTGGTGTCTTACATTGTCTTACTCTGACTAGAAATAGGCCTAATGTGTCAGTGTGTACTAAAAAATTAAGTACAATATGTAAACACTGGATCTGCAGCTGAAAACATGCATTCAAACAATACACATGTATGATTTTTTTTAAAAAAATTCACCAATTTTTCAAAGTCCTAAATTTTTATTGAATTTAAATGATTTAATTGATTGTAAATTTTGTGTGCAAATTCTTAATAATATTAATTATAGTACTGAACTAGTGAAATGAAATCATGAGGGTAATTTTAATATTGAACTTTGTAATTCATTTATTATTTTAAAAATTATTGTAGTTTTAGTTACAATGCGCAAATTAATGTTATTCACATATTTCTACTTTATCATATGATAATTTTTAGATGAGGATAATAAATTGCACAGCCATCAAAATGATAAACAGAACTCCATGTCTACCTAAACAAAAACAGATTAAAAAAAATATAATATTAAAGTTATCTAAATGTTTATATTAGATATGATTCTTCATGGAGGGAAGGAAGGAGGGTGGTGGAGCTTGGGGTTCTGGCTGATGGATTGTCTGGCTGTAAACAGTGTGGATTGCCACTTCAGTTGTCTCACACCCAAGGAATACGCGATTGTGGCTTAGGTAGCTTTCTTCAGGTTCGGTGTCGAAATTTATGGTGTGGACATGTCAATGTGATTCCAACAGGAAAACGCCATGGTCGCATATGGGATGCTAATACTAAGTTAGCTACAGGTATAAATAAATGCATACAATTTAAAAAGTATGTATTCAAATTGTGTGTTAATTGATTTTCATTAGGGCTGGGACGATACAACTTTTTCTATATCGATATGTATCACGATATTTGAGCCACGATACGATATGTATCACGATATGTGTAATTGGTTATAAAATCTTTTTTGGCATTGAAATAAACAAAATATTTCTTTGCAAAAAAAATTATTTATTCAAAATAGTTTTTTATATGTTGTAAAACAAAAATATTTTACTCAAGTGGTGTTAATTATTATTTATTTCATATCTATATTTATATTTTGCTTATTTATTTTATATATTAAACCCCTGGCCAAATGTTAAATAAACAGAGAAAAACAGCAGTCAGAATTTTTTTTGCGATATTTCGATATTTCTACATATGTATCGATATGCGTATCGTCTTCACAAAGAATCGATATTATCGATATCTCGATATATCGTCCCAGCCCTAATTTTCATCATCATGTAACATTTTTTTTTTTACAATTTAATAGGAATGATTCATGCTGGCATTGGCCCAGCTCAAGTAAATGACCTTTTAACATCTATAAATATCCCTGCTATAAGTACGAAGACCATCCAGAATAGACAAACAGAGACAGGGCTGGCCATTGAAAAAGTTGCTGAGGACACCATCCAACAGGTCTTACAAGATGAAATCCTAGCAACAGTTGAGTAAGTATATACATGTTTACACCCATAAAAAGTGATGGTAGATCTAATATGCCACAATATTTCCTCACAAAGCTAATTTTTGGGTTTTTTAGCTCACCGGAGCCAAAGGCTCAAGTAAGCTTTTCTGATCACATTTCGTCTGGCATCCATCTGTCTGTCCGTCTGTCCATCTGTCTGTAAACTTTTCAGATTTTGGACCAATTTCAACCAAACTTGCCACAAAGTATCCTTGGGTGAAGGGGATTCAAGTTTATTCAAATAAAGGGCCACGCCCTCTTCCAAGGGGAGATAATTACGAATAAGTGAAAAATTAATGGCATCTTTTAAAAATCTTCTTCTCAAGAACCACTGGGCCTGGAAAGATGAAAATCATGTGGAATCATCCTCAGGTAGTGTAGATTCAAGTTTGTTCAAATCATGACCCTTGGGGACAGGGTTGGGCCACAATGGACGATTAAAGTTTTACATAGGAACATATAGGAAAAATCTTCTCAAGAACAGCAAAGACATGATTGGTCATATTTATGTGGAAGTATTCTCAGGTAATGTAGATTCAAGATTGCTTAAATCATGACTACCATGGGAAGAGTGGGGCCACAATGAAAGTTTAAACTTACAGGAAAAAAGCCACAGTTAGTCAAAGAAATATGTAAGCATCCTTACTTAGTATAAATTTAAGTTTGTTAAATCCTACCCTCTCCCCTTTTTAGGGGTAGGTCGAGACCACTAATGCATTTAAGCTTTTCAATACAGAACTGATTTTTGCTTTTTTCCTAGCTACAGTGCTCAGGTGAGTGATGTGGCCCATGGACCTCTTGTTGTAATCAGTATTTCAAAATAATTAATAATCATAGTAGGAGTAATAATAATAACAATAAAGAAAAATTCAAAAAATAAAACAAAAACCAAAAAAAAAGCATTTTTTTTTTCAGAACTGAAGGAGCTGAAGAATTAACGGTAAGCGTAGATGCTGGATGGCAGAAGAGGGGGAGTGGTCACTCATTTGATAGCTTTTCTGGTAACTAGCTGTTAGTCTGTAATCATAATGTCTGCAATTTACATGATATGAGAGGTCCAAGTAATAATTTTACCTTAAATTCCTTTTCATTTTAATTGAAGGACATTGCTCAATGATTGGAGAACACACCGGGAAAGTAATAGGATATGAAGTTCGTAGCAAGATATGCAGGATATGTGAGAGTGCTAAGAGGAATGGGAAAGAAGCAAAGGAACATGACTGTAGACAAAATTGGCAAGGTATTAGATACTTCAATTGAAATGAGTGTTTATATTTGAGATTAAGAATAGGATTTAATTGTTACCTTTTGGTTTTATATGTATGTAATTGTTTATTTTTTTTTTAAATAAACTGAATGAACTTTTACTAACCTGCTAAAATAGCAATTTTTGAAACTGAGAAATGCACCTGTACATATCTTTGAATTTAATTTTCAAATGTAATATTAATCTTACTTAAAATTTCATTAACTTAGTTTTTAAATTTGTTTTTTGATTTTTTTTTTTAGGAAGTTCTAAATCTATGGAGCCAAGTATGGTTATCAGCATGGTAGAGAAAAAACAGGACAAAGGAATAAAGGTGTCCACTGTTATAGCTGATGATGACACCACCACCATTTCTCGCTTGAAACAAAGTGTAAACCCAAACATTAAAAAAAAATGCGACAAGAACCACATTAGAAAAAATTTTTCCTCAAGTCTATATGCTTTGCAGAAAAAACACAAGTCCTTAACTACAAAGGTAATCCACTACCTTCAAAAGTGCTTCAATTATCTACTAGCACAAAACCAGGGAAACCCAAGAGGAATAGAAAAGGCACTTGATGCCCTCTGTAATCACCCTTTTGGAAACCATGAGTCATGCAGCGATTCCTGGTGTCAGCATGTTAACAATCCGAAGCAAAGGTACTATTATACATATGACTATGTATGGACATAATTAGTATGTAATTCAGTATCAATTTGAAATAATGTATCTGCATATACATTTATTATGTGCAAGCTTCATCTCGTCCATTTCCTAACCCTGATTTAATTGATTCAGTATATGTTCAAAATAAATTGAAGGTACTCTTCCTTGCCTTATGGAAAGCCCTTAAAAGACTC